CGAAGGTTCCCCGAGTATAGTGACTAGATAGCCCTGACAATCCTCCCTCTGTAGGCACTTAGTCGCCTTCTCCATGGAAATGATACGCGGTAAAGTCCTCGTCCTCGTCCCAAAAAATGTGATGTGGTCTCCATCGGCTAAGTGCAACGTCACCTCTCTATCACGACATCGGATGTCTACGTGATATCTCTCCAACCAATCCATGCCGAGAATAAGGTCAAAGTCTCTCATCTCGATCACGAATGCGTCTAACTCTAGAGTTCTGCCTCCAATACAAATGCTAAGGTTCTTGGCCAGGGAACTCGTGACTATCTTATTCCCCGAAGCTAGGCTGATCTCAAGGGGTCGACGTCACTCACACCCTGGACCCCTATGGCCTCTAGACACTTGGTCGAGACGAACGATTGTGTCGCCCCGGTATCGAACAAAGCAAAGACAGGTACATCGAGTAAAGAGAGCATGCCAGACATGGTACCTGGCTGCTCGGCGGCCTGCTCCAGGTCAAGTGCGTAAATGCGGGCAGGTGCACCTCGAGGTGGGTGTTGAGCTGGCTGTCTCGGTGCTGGCTGTCTATGAGCTGGCGGTCTCTGGCCCTGCTGGGGCTGTGGGCGATCTGGGCAGTCTGCGATCCTATGACCGGGCCAGCGGCAACGATAGCAAATGTCCTGCCCAGCTAGGCACTCTCCCCGGTGGACGCGCTGACAAGTAGCGCAAATAGCTGGGGGCTTTGGGACTAGTGGCGCTGCCTGAGCTGGTGTAACACCCCGGAATAATACTATATTAATAGCTCGACTTATTTATCGGTATTAGTATTATTTTAAATATGCGGAGTATTATTAATATTAATTGCATAATTTATTTAATACTAAGCCCATGTAGTATTTTAAAATCGAGCCTAGTAATAATTATTTATTCGAGCCCAAGTTGTTAAAATCGAGCCCAATTAATTAGGCCCGATTTTTGAGCCCAACACCCAACACAAAACCCTAGTCTTCTCCCCTCCTATAAAAAGATGTTTCATGTTCCCCAACACCCAACAAAAAAGGAGCAAACCCTAGCCACTTTTCACTATTCATTGTCTTCCCCACATTTTTTTTCAAGATCCAAGATCCAAACACCCCACACCTCCATTAAAGCTTAGACCACCACCATCATGGCTTGATAATCCGGCGACCAGCACTACAAAAAAACCTCTTACATTCCAACGGAAATTTTCCGTTGGAATTCTTTATA